TAGATCAAGCGAGACAGTACGTCATTGTAGCGTTGCTCATCAACACGACCTCTAAGGGATTCCCACTGAGATAAGAAACGTTGCGCTGCCTCTGCACCGTCGTAGTGTGCGTCGTAGAAATGTTGGATGACGGTCTTCCCCGAGTGGAGACGGTGCGTATAGGGAACGTGGTGGAACCACAGCAACAGATCGTCCGGCGTGCTGTCAAGGTCCTCATACACCTGTGCAATTTCAGCTGGGTATTGGCCAGCATTACCTGTGCCATTCTTCACGGTGCGGTCCATGCCAATTGTGTCGTGATCAGCACGCGTCCATTGACCCCAGCCATTATTATCCTGCGATGCGGGGTTGGGGCCGTAGTGTGTGTAAAGAATATCGGTCAACGTCTGAATGCCCAGGTTTCCTGTGTAATTTTCATACGCAGGCCACGATGTCATGGACATGTCAGTGAGCGTATCTAACACAGTTTGATCACGCCCAAAGGTAAGGCGAATCCAGTCCTGAAGGATGTCTTGCGAGTCGTCCGTGGGACTCCACGCCAGGCGGCCATAAGCATATAAATTAGACATTGCCAGATGGCTACCCAACCATGTTGTATTTGTTCCAACATTAACCACCGCTGCCCATCCGCCCAGTTGTCGATCAAACCGTTGCCCCGAGATTATGTCGCGAACAAGTGACGGTTGATGGTCGACGCGCAGATCAAAATCCAAAAGCTCTTTCCACAGTGGAGATAAGTAGACCAGGTGATCTTGTTGGCCTAAATATTCTTGGGTGACCTGCAGTTCGATCGCCAGGTTGGTCTGGTAGAGATTGGCGAATAGAGGAGAGACCGGCTCGCGGATTTGGAAATCAATGGGCCCATATTTTACCTGCAGAATCACGTTCTCCTCAAATTGGCCGTCTAGCTCCTTGAAAAAGTCCACTTGTGCATTCGCCCTGTCATTTGTCCAGATTGATTCGTTAATGTGATGGTCATAGACAAAAGTGCGAAACATAAGGATTCCGCCGTGCGGTCGTAGAGCTCTCGCAAAGACGTTGGCTCCTTCAGCTAGCGTGCGATTGTATGTATCAGGGCCAGGCTGTCCTTCAGAGCTGGCTTTTACCAGATATCCTGCCATGTCTGGCACGCGGTCATACAAGCTATCGGTAATGTTCGCCCACCAGGAGATGACGGAGGGATCAAGTGGGTCGTAAGTGCCTAGGCCGCCCAAGGTATCTGACGAAGCAAAGTTGAGAGAGATGCCGATCTGGATGCCATACGGCCGGAAAACATTTGCAATGCGAGCCAGGCCATCCATATTATCGGAAGTTAAGAGGGTTGCATTTGCATTGACATTGTTGACGATAATACCATTGATTCGGATGGACGCTAGAAGGCGAGCATACTGTTTGACACGGGATAGATCCTCAACAATACGGCCGTCTTTGAAGAAGATAGACGGTCCAGCATATCCACGCTCAATGCTCCCATCCATATTATCCCACTGATTCACCCATCGGACCGGTGCATGTGCACTGGTGGAATAATCGACGTGAGAGAAGTTGCCCTGCGCAAGGAGTGAGAGATACTCAAAAGCTCCGTACAGCGCACCTCTTTCATTTTCTCCCAAGATTTGAACAGTATCGCCATAAGATCGCAACCAGAAGCCATCAATGCCAAGAGCAGGGACTTCGGAGCTTCTGTTACAGGCTTGGCGGTATTGCTCGAGGGTAGCGACCAGAATCGATGAGCGCGAACCACAGTTGGACCGCTTGATAGGTAATTGCTTGCCAACGATGTTCTCCAGTCCAGTTTGCAGCTCATGAATAGCGGTACCTATGGGGCCCGAGTCGGTACTATTCAACGTAACAATGCTCGATGGTAACGCACGCTGGCAGCGTTTGTCGCAGTGCACGGGAGCATATCGTAGCCATCCATTGAAGCCGTTCTCTGCTGTTGTTAGAGATACGAGCCACAGCAGCACGGTCAGAAATGGCCAGCGCATGTTGTCAATGTTCTCGGTCTGCTCTTCTCATAGGGCAATTGAACCAATTTAAATACCGAGATCTGCATCTTGCTCAATTCCCGGTACCTCCCACGCTAACAATACCCATGAATTCAGGCTATATTAATCCGGGGTAACGTGGGGTCATTGACCAGCCACCAAAATGTACCCCATAATTTTACCGTAAAGTAAATTGGCAGGCAGATGGGGAAACGCCATTGCGGGGAAATCGCCATGAATCAGACATGATTTTAGCCGGAAACTTTGGATAATCCTCGGTGATGAACAAGTGGTCGGGTTAGAATTTCGCCGCCATCCGGACTGATTATCCCGGGTTCCAAGCTAGTGTCAGGAAGATTCCTAAAGTAGAGAAATAAAATTTAGAGCAAGTCTAGTGCAAGAGACAACAATACTAATTAGGAGGAAAAATGGATGCTCTCCCAAGAAGGGATCCATACTACAGCCGGGACACGCTAATACCAAACAGGACATTGGGTGCTGACGTGGGATCATGTGACCCATTGTTTCCCTTTTGGTCTGTTTCTACCTTGCTTTTTAATGACTTGCCCGTCACCAGACCATAGCAGTATACCGAAGTTCTGATAACGGACAGAATGAGTACTGTCGCTAGGAACTCTTTTCGTGCTCGTGCGGTACGTGTTACTCCCCATTAGATACCAAGGTCCCCCGATTAACCATCATCAGTGTGACAATTGCCGAGCCCGAAAGGTACGTGATAACAGCCATATCAGACCCTCCGACATGCATCTAACAATCAGCAGATCAAATGCGATAAGGCTATTCCATGCTCCAGTTGTGGTGCACTGGGGATACCTTGCAGGGTAGCCGGCATCTCTACTACCAGTAATAGCAGTACGAGCGTCCCAGAGCCTCGGCGGAATGAGTCGAGCCATTAGTAAGGCAGCATTGAAGGCGCCCTTGCATGCTCTCGAGGTTGACGATGGCAGCAGTGAACGAAAGATTGAGGCCCTTCAAGAACAACTTGCCGTTATCAATCAAACACTGGCGCAAATCACACAGTCTTCAGCTCCCAGTGCTGCTGGCTCGGTTTCCGTTCCCGAATCATCTACTCATGCCACACTACCATTCGAAGGGCAGTCATCCTTCCATCATGAGACACTGCTTGCTAAGGACGCGGCGCTGTCAGCCATCTCTACGTCCCACAACAGTGGACTAAATGACCATGTGTCCGCTGTCCTGTCGTCTTTGAAGAACAGCCTCACGGAGGAACCTTTGTCTCCCAATGGCTGTCCGACAGAGCCAGGTTTACCGTCATCATCACAAGACCCAAGGCCATTATTACCAGTAGATCTAGTTGTCGCGGTGGTCAGGGCTGTAAAAGGTATGGATGGTCTTTTGCCGCCCATCATTTCACCGACTGACTAGATAGCAAAACCTCCTTTTTTCCTTGTCAGCCATTCCTGGAGAGACCTTCTCCAAGTCGAATCTCTATGCCAATCCATCTACTTCCCAATAAACCCGGTCCCTGCGGGTTCTTTGACTCTATTGTATGGCCTTCTCTATTATATCATTCGTGATTATCTTCATGAGGGACATCCAGACCTCGCGCGATATGACCTGCCGTCCAGTGCAAAGGTTTGCGAGCGTCGCTTCTATCTGGGCTTAAACAGCGATGAGCTCATGGCGGACCCGACAATCGAAAAGATCCAAGCACTTTTGATTGGGGTAAGAAACTTAAGAACAACTCCGAACCCCCGCTAACATGACCAGATAATCAAAGCCCAGGAAGAGTTTGATATTCAGCGTTGCTGGACATATCTATCTCTTGCGTTCAACATGTGCCAGACTATTGGTTTACATAGGAATTCTACTACCAACGGTGACCCATCTACCCTCGCCGAGACGAAGCGACATGCCTTTTGGTTGCTCTATACCATTGATAAGAACATATCACTGAATCTGGGGTTCACGTCACACTTCCAAGATCATGATATAGACGCAGACCTCTTTGCTCCCTCAGATCATCACCAATATCGTTCATGGGACCTAATGACCCTGGTCACTGCCGAGTTTGCGACAATCCAAGGAAGGGTCTATGATGAACTTTACTCTATTTCCGCTTCCAGGGCCAGCGATGAGAAGAGATTGAATTCTATTGAGAAGCTGTCTCTTGATCTGATTGCTGTTCGAGACAAACTGCTAGCGGTAAGCATTTTAATGAAACCCAATGCACCAGCGGCTAACTCCTTCTCAGATTGATGTCAGCGCGGGCCTTTATGCAGATTCACTGCATGGCATGGCTGCATGTGCCGATTTCATTACCTACTCGGTACTGACAGTTATCTATCGAGCCGAAACACGTCCTCGAAATGCCATGGCAATCTCATCCCGATGTTACGAGGCTGCCACACTAGCGTTGCATAGCCACCTGAAATGCTTCACCTATTTCCGCGGCCGCCAAACCCATAAGCAAATTGAATACGTTCACTGGTTAGCACATTGAACATATACGTTCGAAAGCCGCTGACACGCATACAGGATTCTACTTTATCCATCATTTGCGCCGTTTGTGATTGTCTTCACCCATGCGATTACCACTGCCAGCAACGCCGACCTCACTCTCCTCCAGGAGACGGTCAAGTCTCTCGATCTCATCAAGGGGCTATCACGTGGATCGAGGCATCTGTATACAATTTGTGATGCTTTTGCCAGAGCGGCACAAGTTCTTGTGGAGTCTCAGCAGACTCTGATGGGTCTGGAACAACACCAGGATGGCTCGCTCGTCATTCCCACTACGATAGATGGCCCAGCCAACATTTCTCTGCCAAACGTGCCGTGGCCGGAAGATACATTCGACTCTACTATGAGCCAGGAAGACATATCCATGTTTCTTAACGACTTCATCGGAGCAAACCGATCGGTCATGGATATATTGAATTCTAATTACATGAGCGACACTTTAGGCTAACAATCTCGCATTCAAGGTCCAATGTCTATCGCTATCTTACACACCAAGCAACTGCTATCCTTCATAACGGGCTGAAGTTGAATCTTAGATTACGTACTATAGCATTCGATTAGCTTCAATAATTCTCAAGGCGATGCATGATGACTTACCGGAATGAAGAGGTATGGGACCCGGCGTTCGTATTCCGCCCACGCCTCGCCGTATCTTTCCCGGCATCGCTGGATATCCCGAATGACGCGGTGGATAATCATGGTCGTGAAGAAAACCGAATAGAACCACGGGAATGGCGAGTTGAATCCTGTAATCAACCCCCAGGAAAAGGCGAAAAACCAGTCGCAAGTATAGTGCACTTTGCGTGCCTTACCGTCTACATATTCCGTCAGCATGATCAGACATTATTGGCATGTCCCTGTTTAGTATCAACTTACACCATCCACTACACAGAATGGAGTCACCAGTTACAGTGGGAATCTTCTCCGGGTTTTCGATGTATTTCCAAGGGAGTTGAGGGAACGTCTTCCGGTCCACCCAGAATCCGCGCTCCTGGGCTCTGAACATATTCTTCTGGCTGTTGCATGTGTCCCAGACCCAATAAGCAAAGAGATACATCGCGAACAGGGCAGCCAACGCAATGCGGTTCCAACGATAGGTCGATGGGTCGTGAGATGCGAGGTATAGGGTGCAGTGGCAGTAGCTCATTGGCACACCCGCGAGATTCCAGAAAATGAGCATGAAACCCCATTTCTCGTAATACATATCCCTATCTGGGGTTAGTTACAACTACTTTCAGCGAGACGGTGGCAATCGGACTTACCAACTGGTGATAATTAATTCTTCGCCCTTGGCGCAGGCGTTGGCGTACAGGAAGTGGGCCATGAGCACGAAACACACCTCTCCGGAGACATAGCCCAATTCTTCCCACTGCTTCAATGCGGTGGCCAGGGATAGGAGGAACAAGATGTACCATGGGATGCGTACTTCGAAAAACATCTTCATGTCGAGCCATTTGAAGAGCCGAGGGTTCAGTTCGGCACCCATGAAAAAGTCGTAAATATGTGAGCCAGTCATGCGATGTTGCGCCCCTCGGGCCAATGCCGACACATAAGCGACAATGGAGACCAGGAAGCCTGAGCAGATCGCCACCGACATAATCGAGCCGAACTCGTTAATCAACGTATCAAGACGAAAGATGCCGGTGAAGTGCAAGGCCAAGGAGCTTGCAATGGTTATATACCAGGCTGATACCGCCGAACAATAGTAGTCAAGCTGCTTCCCGTTCAAATGAGGCAAACACTTTCCTTTGCCGTATACTCCGGGCAGGTAGATGTATCCGATCCCTTGGAGGATCAGGAAGGTCCAGTAGATGGCCCATGCTCGCCGATGAGGGAACGCGTGGGTGTATGCCAGGTCGAAAAGATGGTACAGGAATTCACCGATGGTCTCACCATTCTGCGGTGTTGGAGCACGGCCATCGTAGAGCGTCGCACCAATGTACATGTAGTACATCAGTAAAGGAAATCCCAACATCAACGCTGTCACTCCAGCCGGACCACCGAACTCCATGTGAGTCTCTGGTGCAGACGAAGGCTTCGATACTGGCTCCGAGGAGCCATTGGCCGACCCATTTGCACGACGGTTTCGAGGCATATCTGCTGGATAGCTATAGAATTCGGTGAGTTTGGGATCTCAACATTCCATGTGCGCTGTTCGGTTCTTGAGAACGAGATATATCAAGTGCTGGGTACTCACTGATTACCAGTCGAACTAGACGCCGACATTTTCCTCGCTTTCGCACACAACGCTTTCGGACACAGAGCGAGACTTTGGACTACAACTGGCGAAACAAATTCATCTTTCCTACCCTCACTATTTAAATGAGCCCTGAAGCCCCTTACTTTCCTACTAGGATCGCCACCCACTGAAAACCGTGTGATATTCGGGTACCGTGCTCTCCGCGGTCTCCGCGGCGACCTCGGGCCCCACCTGCAATACTTACCCACTAGGAAATTGTTTCATATTATTTTCTCTCTTTGTATCCAAAAAAAGAAAAAGCAGAGAGACGGAAAGTAAGACGGAGAAAGGAACACCCAGAAAGGATATGTTCACAAGTATTGTTGTGCCTCCACCCGATATGAGGACATTGCCGATTCTACAACTCTTGACCGGAGTAACTTAGATCAAACGTGGACACCGAACCACCAGCCAAAGGGCATTTACTATTGATCTGCTCGGTACAGGACGGGGGTATCAAGTCAATGTTTCCTCGTTCAGAACGTTATGCATCGGACTGGTCACAATCCCAAGCCTGGCCGCCTAATACTACCTGGACAATAATTCACAGACGTATCTTTTAAACAGTTTTCTTTACCGCCTTAGAATACCAGCGTACGATTGACTGATTTTATTTTGCTTGAGACTATTAACAAACCAGGATGACCTGCTAGTGCCCTACCTTGGAATATAATGTGAGCAAAGTTCGTCAGATCAAACTTACTCTGCTTGTAAAAAAATCACATTGAGTGGCCAGATTCGGTACTACCTGCATGGCAAATCCCAGTAGCGAAAATCTGGTTGGATGGGCCACGTTTTAGCCTCAGTGGACATCCAATGGCTACGAGTTAATCTACCGCGAACGCGCGGTCGAATGCAATGAACTCTGCAGTGTAACGCAATATCCTGACAATGGGAATCAGCGATGCTGGCGGACGCAAGGTCAGAGTCAAGTCTCCAGGGAAGCTATTAATGCATCCAAGGTCACTGGCCTACCCACTGCACTTCTCACCATGACGTTGGACTCATCTACTCTGAGTATCACCAAGGAGACGGCCCGAATGTCATTACGATGTACAGTTTAAGCGCTTTTATCCTCCTAGGGGGAGTCCTGGGGCTGTATGTCCTGTTGAAGTCAAAGGCGTCACGAGCCCCTCTGCCTCCAGGCCCCAAAGGACTGCCCATTATCGGCAATATTGGTAGCGATCTTCCGCGCGGCGGGAAAGACTGGGAGCATTGGCTGAAACACAAGGATTTGTATGGTATGGACAGTATTCCCGGCCACCTCTTACTCTGCGTTGAAATCCTCATCTGGATCGCCGCCAGGGCCCATTAGTTCGATCACGACGGCGGGGCATACCCTCATCATCCTAAACGGCGCCAATGTGGCAATGGAACTGCTGGAGAAGCGATCGGCACGATACTCAGCTCGACCGAGATTGGTGATGGCCCATGAGCTGTAACTACCTCTTGCTCCATCTCCTAGACTGTATACAGACTACGCAGGGGCTATTCAATTGTGCGTTGCTAATACCTGCGTACCTCCTTCCCTAGTTCTGGAGCCGACATCTTTGTCACCATGCATACTGAAAACGCTCTCGTTCGTGAACAACGAAAACGCATACTCTCACAGCTGCGCTCGGAACGCGCATTATTATCGCTTTACCCGCAGGTGGATACGGTGGTCCGACGCTTCCTGCTGCGGACGTTGCAAAAACCAGAGGAGTTAATGGATCATATCAAAACGTGAACGCAACGTAGCCCTTGTACTTGAGGTCTAGTAATTATCGGCTAATGTGATCCATAGAGGAATCGGAGGAGTTATACTAAAGATCGCATACGGTTATACCGCCGGGTTTCATGGTCGGGATCCCCTCATCGATCTCGTGGAAAACACATCTTTTGCATTTGGCATAATAAACCAGCCAACAGGTTGGCTGGTGGATAGCATTCCCGCCCGTAAGTCACCCTTCCTCGGTGTGTGCCTGGTGGTGGCTTACAAGCTGGGTCAGTGAAGTACATGCCGAGTTGGTTTCCGGGGGCAGGGTTTAAGAAACAAGCCAGGGAGTATCGACGCGGATTTCACACATTAGCTAATTGGCCGTTCGCCTTTGCTCAACATCAGATGAAGGAGGACAAGTATGAACCTTCATTCGTTTCCAGACAGATTGAGCAGACAGGCTCGATACTTAGTCCCGAAGAGGAGCTGAAGATCAAACACTCGGCAGCTGCGGTCTTCCAAGCTGGCTATGATACGGTGCGTGAAGCTAGCAAAGCGTCACGGCGGGGCCATACTGATTGAAGCTATAGACGGCATCTACCATCACATCCTTCTTTCTGGCAATGGCGCTGTTTCCTGACGCACAGCAAAAGGCCCAGGAGGAAATCGACCGAGTCATAGGAGCGAGGCTCCCTACGCCTACAGACCGAGTGAAACTACCCTATGTTAATGCGCTTATCAACGAGGTCATACGCTGGAACCCGGTGGTTCAGATAGGCATCATGCACGCAGCCACAGAAGATGACATTTACGAGGGCTACCTGATCCCCAAAGGGGCCCCAATCGTCCCCAACATTTGGTGAGTTGCTTTCCCTTATCTACGATGCCGTCAATACTAATCCCACGCCTCATGACAGGGCATTTGCGCACGATCCAGAGGTATACTCTGATCCCATGTCGTTCCGGCCCGAGCGCTTTTTGGCATCGGACGGACACGTACCAGAACGTGATCCGCACACGCTGGTCTTCGGATTTGGACGCCGGATTTGCCCCGGCCGTCCGCTGGCGGACTTCAATAACTTTCTCACGATCGCACGGTCACTCGCGGTCTTTCGTATTCGAAAGGCCATGAAAGATGGCAAGGAGATCGACCCCATCGTAGATTATCAGGAGGGGATCGTCGGTCACCTATCACCGTTCCAAGTGAGCATCCAGCCGCGAAGCGCAGAACACGAAGCCCTCATCCGTTCCATTGAGGTTGAAAATCCCAGTTCACGAAGCGACTCGGCGACACTTGAGTCACTCAGGGTATAGAGTGTATACGTACTGGCTTCCCTAGAACGACCGCAGGTTCCCTATTTTGGACGCCTCTTTTTTAGTGAGAGGACTCAAGGGGCAGACCAGTGGCCTTATATTACCACTTAGTAGCTAACTACTTAGATCTACAATTTATAGCTATTACTGAATCTATATTTTAACTCTCCCCGCGGGCCACAGGGGTAGATCTTATGTCATTCATATTTAACTGTATTTACTGTATCTCTGGATTTACTTACTGCGTAGTCGCGCGGCTTTCCAAATAAAGGTTGGATTTTAACCAAGTTTCCAGTTCCGTATCATTCATCAACGAGATGAGAGTATCAGTATCTTACTGCATTTTCACACCGACTTACAGTTTATACACGTCCAAAGCAGTCTTATGGATGCTGTTGCAGCATCACAGAGAAACTTTGTCTTAGAGATTACGTTGAACAGGGCGAGAATCCTGCCCCAACTAATAGCACTTTTTTTTCTGATTCCGTGATCCTTTATTGTGACCCACCTATTCTCGGTACCCGCTGCCGAAGTAAATGGGGCTAAGTATATTTCGTCGCCGTCATTTAAGTGTTCGATAACCCAAGATACTCTACTACATGTACTCAGAATTTATTCATACCTACAAGCATACAGTATGTCAACCGATCAATACGAGTACTCGCTCTTCCGCATTGACAAAGAAAACGCAATCCAGTCATCAGCCCAAAAGTACAAACACCTGCGTCTCCAAGCCCTATCCATCGCACCGACGTCTTTTTCCTCTACCCACGAGCTCGAATCTTCCCTCACAGACACCGAATGGGTGAACCGCCTTTCAGCGAACGGACGAGAGACTTTCATATGCGCCGCGAAACCCACACAAAACAATGAACCATGCTCACAGATCCCAGAGTGGGTCGGCCAGCTAACGCTGCGGGGCCCACTGAGCCCCGAAGACTTCATCCTACCCGAGGAGTCCGGACAGAAGAAGCCCGCTGGAGAACAGGACACGGAACTCTGGCAGATGCTCAGCTTATTTACGCTTCCGGACCATCGCGGCCGTCGTCTCGGGAAGAGGCTGTGTCAGGAGGCCTTGAAGTACCTCGCTTCGTATAGGGACTCTCCGCGCGAGCTCTGGGTGCGGTTGATGGTGAAGCCGGAGAACTATGCGACGGTAAGCTTGTATCGGGGGCTGGGGTTTGCGGAAGCGGGGAAGTGTACTCTTGCTGAGGCGTTGGTTGCGAATGGTGATGAGGATCTGTTACCGGGAGATACTAGTGGCGAGAAGTATACTTCCCGCAGTGGATTGATTATGATGTTAGAGATTTGGCGGTCGTGAGTCGTTGATTTGTTTGCTTTTCGTGAAAGGGTCAGTGAAGGCAATGCCATTCGGCTTTGTTTAGATGGAGACGTCATCTTTCGGTAGTAGGCTAATTCCCTCTTTTTGATATGGGTGAAACCTGTCCACTACTTATCTTGTAGACAGTGCCGTCAGGGAAACCGTGAGAATGTGACTCTAATATAAAGTCCCCGTCTTTAATGGTGAAATTATGGTTCACGGTTGAAAGTCGGATCATCTGATATCGCCAGGCTGAATGCCGCTTCAACGTCCAAGCGACGGAATCCCAGTGCACAGCCTAGACATACCCCCCTCGAGAGAAGTTCTGCTCAAAATGTACCTTTAGCATTTTTGCGTATCACACAGTACAAATAGGAGACGGGGATAACAAACCATTGAGAAATCGGTCCACGTTGAAGATCTTGGCACTCCGCCGCCGTGAAGACAGAGAGGGCTCAACCCCTTGACATAATGTCATGTCCCTGCATGATTTGAACGAACTGACTTCCGACAAGTACATGAATGACTGCGCTCCTCCAATAACAAGTCCATTCTCTTCAAGCCAGCCCTCGATATCCCGAGGATCAAACCACGTTTCATCATTAGTCTTGGACGGTGTCTCTGGGACATTCTGGACAATGCCGAAGTCCGCCGGCCTGTTTTTATAATGCGTTCCCGCGCCACCCAGTCCATAGACATATGCCGTCCGGTAATCGGCATTAGTCCGTAGCAAGATGTCGAAGGTCGAAATCATCGTGTTGGCGTCAGAGTAATGGAAAGAGTACTGGAAAACGCGGGCGACCTCGGCCCCGTCCGCACAGGGGTTGGTGAGTAAGCCGTGAGCACGCTTGATGCAGCTGAAATAGAGCCGCTGGGAGAAATTCCTGGGCAGTGGAACTTCCATTCCGCATAAATTAGATGGCAGCCCTAAAGGAAGCGTAAGAATAGGCGTTGGCGTTTCAATAGGTACAGCGGCTGGTAGCGGAAATTCTGTCGCGCAAGAGGCATAGATACTGGAAAAATAGACTGGCCCGGACGGGTTAGGATCACTGCTTGAGTTGTTATGGTGGACGTGTCCATCATCGCGTCGTGACTCGTTGAAGGGCTCAACAATCTGAGAAGCAGATAAAAAGTCGCGGGTAATACTCTGGAGCTCGTGCGTCAGATCCGGCTGTGTCAGACTACTTTCCGCCTTGGTGACGTGGGATAGCATTTCAAAGAAAGACTGTTTCATATGCCTGATTCGACTTTCAAGAACCTGTACGTAGTTCATGCGCAAAGCATCTTCCTCCTCTTTTCGAGACCTGTAAGTCCGTTGTGCTTTCCGGACTTGCTTCCGGCGCCTCTACGCTCCAGTCAGATAACCAGTCAAAGCATAATAAAGATGGAGCGAGCAGTAGGTTCCTAAACATACCTCTACTAGGCCTTTTTGCGTAGGGTCAATGGGGGGTCTACCTCGCTTTCCTGTACGTAATCGACGAAGGCCATCTGAGGTTGAAGAGCATCCCTCATCTTCACCTGACTTTCCAGGTAGACTGTTCGAACCTGCCCTTGAAACAGACCGGCTGGAAGACATCGTGATCGTATACAGATCTCCGAATTTATGTACACACCGGGTTGGCTTCCTATCAGACTAGTCGCGGGGAATACAGAAATGGGTGGCTGCGGTGGTACTGTACCCACATCCCGCAAACATTCCTAGGGAAAAGCCAATGAAAACTCACCTGAGCGCTGTGTAGTATCACTATTGGTGTGCTAATAATAGTTATTACTTAGTGACTATCCAAGTTATATAGATTACGGAGCAGAGACCCTATGAGTACAAAATCGTACAGTGGGTACACTGTACAGCACCTGTGTTGGCATGTTGCAGAGTCTAGGAGAGGAAAAGTGAAATGCCCTAATCAAGACCGAGTGGTAGAAGATGATAAGATCAATTAATTACCTGGGCAACTTTAGTAAAGAATAACAAGATAAAGATGGGATAGAAGCTAGTGCCCTTGCTGTCTTTTATGTCAACACCCTGAGTTTCTTATATTCTTGGAAGTGGGTGTATTCAGAGTTTCAATATAGTCCTCCACTCTCTCTGTACTATGTATGTAGGGTCTCGAAAGGGATTGCTGCGGAATGTATTGCAAGCCACATGGAGATAGAAAGCAAGGAGATTTACCCCGAAGTACCCATTTAGCATTCAGTTTGACTATATATCTTTACTCACGTAGGTTGTATTGCCAAAGTATTGAAATGTTTGATGTCGATGTCATGACTCATGGACTCAAGAAGAGAAGCTATACCACCTCGGGCTAGTGGCACGCTAACCCCAGAACAGACTAGAAAGCATCATCTCCCTTATCACCAACTGACACTATATCGGCTTGCATAGTTCTGGATCAATCTCGACTGATGAGCGATTTCTCTTGCAACCTGGTGATGATTCAAAAAGTTTCCTCCGCCCAGTGAGGTTTCCACAATCGGCAATGACAAGGTTCAAGATAAGGACCCTCCTTGATACGACGTGCTTGGATCCTCCGAGTCTATTCGCACGTCAGGCATTCGCATCCATGGTAGGCCTGTGTCTCCAGGGGGCAAACGGCGGCCAGACAAAATCTAGACAGACCTCCCTATTCGTCTTGCGTGACGATTAACATTCTGATGCAATCTTGATATCCAGGATGGTCTCCGCTGCTCGTTTCACTGGCTAATCGGTCGATCATGACGCAACAAGGTCCATGGGCAGACAAATGAATGGAACATGACGTCGACGGCTTCCTTCCTTGTTGCCAATGGGGAAAACACCCTAAATGGCGAGGATAGTTACGATGGGGAAGAGTTAAGGACACCCAGAGTCGATAAAATCTCTCGTTCACCGGGTGTCGTATATGCACCAGCCGTCCGAGTCTTCCCGTCCATACCTGCTCTCACATCATCCGGGGCGAAGTGAAATTCATCGCTCTTCTTCTCACCCTAATATCTAGCTTATCTTAATCCTGTAACGTTCTGAATTATTCTTCTATCTACAGTTCTATCTCCCACGGTCATCGTCATCCCACGCCATAGTACATCATGAGAGACACTAGACGCACCGGCCTCAACATAGCATTTGTCTACGATCCAAAGGATTACTATGAGTCCATAGGATATTCCAAGAGCGAATGCGCCGATCTCGCAGACGATGTGACCATCAACGGCGTAGCATCAGCCCTCGAGAGTCTCGGCCACCGCGTGGTCCATGTTCCCGGGATCAAGACTCTCGTCAAGCATCTCTCAGCAGAGAAGCACAAGCAATGGGATCTCGTCTTCAACTACAGTGAGGGCGTATTCGGCTCCGCTCGTGAGTCGCAGGTTCCCGCCCTGTTAGAGGCGTATCAGATCCCTTTTACCTTTTCCGACTCCGCGACGCTCGCAACAGGGATCGATAAGGGAAAGACCAAGGTGAGTTGTACTCCGCAGCGTTCTTCATTAAACGTCAAATCCTAGAGTATCTAAGACTGATTGATCTACTCACATTACTTAGATGCTATTAGAACACTACCGAATCCCAACGAGCCCATTCGTCATCGTCCCTAGATTCGGCGAACTCGTAGACTACGCCACTCTAGAAGACCAAATACCGTATCCGCTCTTTGCGAAGCCAATCGCCGCATCCACATCCAACGGCATATCACCATCGAACAAAATCCTGCGAAAAGAAGACCTCCAAGACGTCGTCGAGGACCTCCGCACCCAGTTCAAAGACCAAGAAATCCTCCTCGAGAAATTCCTAGACGGTCGCGAATTCACCGTAGCCATCCTTGGGACCGGCGAACAAGCCGAAGTACTAGGCGTCTCCGAGGTGACATGGTACAACCCGGCAGGGAGAAAAAGCGACGACCTCTCCGTCGACTTCGCGACAAGTTCCTCCAAAGAGGGCAAGGGTGACGGGCATGACATGGGCCACGTTCATGCGGACCTGGCAGATCCTCTGGTCAAGGCGGTAGCTGAGATCGGATTCTCCGCATATCAGGCACTCGGTTGTAAAGATGCAGGTCGGGTCGATATCCGCCTGGATGGTGCCGTGCCATATGTCATCGAGGTATGTCTCCCCACCGAAAGATACAATAGCATGCCCCCTCTAACTTGCAATAGGTGAACCCGATCTTCGGACTACGACCGGATTATTCCTTGTTCACTTGGATCGCGAAAAACAACGGAATGGAATACCAGGACATCATCGCGGAGGTCGTCGACAATGCTCTACTGAGGCAGAAACCGGCGATGGTGCCGAATGGTTTGAAGAATTGATCTCATGCCGTATAGATTATATCCTTGGAAGGGAGCCGCTAATAAACAATACCGGGGCCAGAGCAAAAAGGGGGGTGCGAGTAATATTTACTAAGGCGTTGGCGTTATTCAGGTTCAGCTCGGGAAATATAAAACGAGATTCCCACGGTATCCTTTCGTAGACTTGAATTAGATAGTCACCCGTTTGCAACAGCATAGCTCGTCATCACTATTTTCAGGTTATGATTTGATCGGTGCTTGAAAAGAGTCACACGTCTAGAGTTGATAATGACTTTGTCCATGTGCGACGAATCGGAAACAGTTGGTTCTGGTCGGAAAACTCTGATGCGTTTTAGGGGAAGAGGAGCTGAGCGTCATACATATGCCATATACCCTACATTTACATACTAACTAGGCAGATATACGAGCAACGATACGACTAGTTTTAGGAACTTTGAACACAATAGAAATGAAATCAATAAGATTATTGCTATTTTGATGGGCATAATCCCGAACCCATTTCCCAAGAGCCTGTCACGCAGGCAAATCAACAACGCCAGACACCATCCATGCCAAACCGAACCTTATATAATGATAACACGAATGATCCCTGACCCTAGCGCCAACTTGAAGGGTATTTGTATCCAAAGCACAACATTAAACATAGGCGCGTCATGTCTCCACAGGAGACGGGCCACGAGAAGAAGAAAAGAAAAAGCAAACTATTTAACTGCGGAAACTGTACATGCGCACTTCACCATCCTCGCTGCCGGTCGCAAACCGACTGTCGCCGAGACCGATACAGGTCACTGGTCCTGAATGGCCGGTGAAGGTGCGCTCGCATTTGCCCGTCCTGGGATCCCAGATCTTGACCATCCGGTCTTCCGCACCAGACACGATCCGGAGGGTATCGGCACCGAGCGCCCAAACGCCTTCGAGATGGCCGAAGAAGGTACGCAGGCAGCGACCGGTCGTCGTCTCCCAGAGTCGGATGGTGGAATCCAAAGCGCTGGTGACGATGTAGCGTGGTGGGGCTGGGCGGCCATTGTCAAATGAGGGACCAAAGACAGACGTCTCAGAGAGGTTCGACTCCAGTCCGAGCGCTGCCTGGAGGGCGGCTGGTTCCGTATCTCCCGAGGTGGTGCTCATGTTATCGTTATCACATTCGGCGTCGTGCTCTTCGAACTCGAACTCCCGGGGCAAAGGAACCACCTGCTGAACTTGGCCGACATGGCCATGGAAGGTGCGTAGACAGGTCTTGGTGTCCAAGTCCCACAGGCGAACGGTGCAGTCATCCGAAGCCGAGAACACCGTCCGAGAAGTGGTGTCCACTCGGACAGCATTGACCCAATCGGTGTGCCCGCGCAGGAGAAACGTTGACTTGTCCTCAAAGTTCCAAATCTTGACCGTCTTATCGACGGAGGCTGATGCAAGAATCGATGCGTCAAAGTGCAGTCCAATTACTCCTCCACGGTGACCCGTGTAGGTGGAGATACACTCGCCCGTACGCCAGTTCCACACCTTCAGACTGCGGTCCATACTGCCGCTGATCAGTTTGGTGTCGTCAAACTGGAGACAGCGAATACCAGATTGATGTCCGCGGAGGGTACGCAGCTCTTCTCCGGTTTCGGTATCCCAAATCTTGATGGTCGCGTCGTATGAACCAGTCGCCAGAATGTTGTCCTCGAATTGCAAGCACATCACCCCGTTGGTGTGGCCTTTGAACACCTTGGTGGAGCACCGTCCATATTTCCAGTTCGTGCCAACCTTGAACCGGTCCTTGTAGACCTCCTTCCACGGCCGGTAGCGAGTCGTATAGTAGTCATCGTCTGGCTCCGATCGAGTATCCAGTGAGGAACAATGCCGCTTCACGATTGCCGTCTCGTCATCGCTCGAATCCGCCTTCCGTTTTTGAGTATTCGAATCGTCTGCATGTGTCGCACTGCATTCGGCACCTCCTGCGTTCTGCGCGGGTCCGCTGACGTCCCAGTTCGTGGCACGCAATTCAATTTCGCGCTTGGACTCTCGCAAACGTTTCCGCTCCAAAAGAGGAAGTCCCCAGCCACATTTCTTGCATTTGCGGTGGATGTGTTGTTCGCACATACGATGCCAAACCACATCATCATCTGCAAGTGCCCGCCAGCGGCTGGACACCTGGGCGGCTTTACACAGCGAAGTGGTGTCGAGGTAACACAGAATTTTAAACGAGATCTCCGGTGGAAGAGCGGTCAGGAAGTCGATTCGGATGAGGTCTCGGACGGTAGCGGACACGAACGAAAGTTGCGGGAAGCAGCACTGAGCCATGATCCCCTGGAGGATCAATTTGCGGTGCTTGGCCGGAGCGGCCGAAAAAAGAGACCATACATGGGCAATGCCCTGTTGGTCCCTAGGAGGCAGCGTTTCCAATTCCTATAACTCATTAGCTAAGAGAAACACGACAAGCCCTAAGAAGCCCTACCCTCTGTAGTTTATCCATGGACGGCTCGTCTGCCTGTCGTCTGCATTTAAGGTCTGGCCGGTGGCGATAGCAAAATTTCGAGTTTGGGCTACTCAAATCCTCCAGCTTGTCGGTTCTTCGCGAGCCTAAGGGATCGTATTGTTCGGGGATATGTTTGACGAGAAATGGCGTAACATTCTCGTTTGCAAGCTTTGCGGGAGTCGTCGCAGCGGCACCGAAACTGTGGGGCTTTCGATGGTTAGAATCGGTCTCGGGTTCGGGTTCAATTTCCTCAGCGGTGTCCGATGCGCCGCCAAAGATGGACTGGAACGACTGCTGCTGTTGTTGTAATGATTGTTCGTGCGAGGGATGCGTAAGTTCTCGCGTTGGTTGGGCCATTTTCATCAAGAAAGTCTGCGAAGAGTCGCTACCTTCACGCACTGATCGGTCGTCGAACTGCATCGTGTGACTGGGACGAGGTCCTACCGCCCGCACGCTACCGTGGTAGCAGTCGTAATGAAGGGCAGAACGGAAGGTCGAGAAAAACCAAGAGGACAACGAATATTACGCCAGCAACCACCTTCGTCTGGGTTTGCCGCAGTCAAAGTTCAATATTGCGGTACCTGATCGTGCGCCGATAGGGGAGTGACAGCGGCGACCGTCGGGAATTGATGGGTCGGGTCGCAAGATAACGAGATTGAGTAGTTGATAGGCGGGGAGAGGGATGGCGACAGCGAAAGCGGCAGAGAGAGAGGATGGAAGAGAGGGAGTAGGGTCTTCTTCTTTCTGCTTTCAATGGTCCAGCCAGATCCGAAAGACGTGCAGAAGGATACGCCCGAGAAAGAGATCAGGGGAAAAGAAGACGATCGGAGAAGCATTGTACTTGTACATCGGCGACCTTGTTGGCTCCTTTGATCACGCAAGCGCCATCCAGCGTATCGTGCTACGCTAGTCCCCTTGCGGTAGCCTTCACGTGACAGCGATGGCGCCATAGACGCTCTTAGTCGCATCAGCACAACATCTCGACCCGCCAGAGAAGACGACGAACTGCTTCTGTGTTGCACAATTCGTCGCCATTGTCCGCCCTTATTGCGGATCCCCCAGAGTTTTCAGAAGCTACTCTGGCTCTGTCTTGCGCTATTCTGGGATCCATCGCTTGGCGCTAAATTCCCCAGTGGGCTGGGTGCCAGCAGCGACGTACTCTACTCCGACGACAATCAGTTCCACCATTGGGCCGTCGTGCTTCTGACCAACCATTGCTCTCCCAGATCTATACGCTTGCTAATTTTTCTTTAATTTTTCTTTATGGATGTTTTGCCCCTTGTGATGATTACCTAAGTTAGTGCCGGAAACAGCCTCATCACCTCATTTTGAATACCCCATTTCGTGGCAAGATTTCTAGAGACGTGGAGTCCTTGAAACATCACATCATCTCGGCTTCAGAACGCGGCAAGATCAGTCAGGCCTTCCATAACGAAGGCTTCTTGAGACTCAATTTTGATTTAGACGTCTCACCGCTAGAATCCGAACCACGCTAGTCCCTGTTAGTCGGGCAGTTGATGGTCGAAACCACTGGTTGTTTAGGAAGGGATAAACGTTGCTTGGCCTCTCCAATGGAGTGATGATGGCCTAAGTCTGCGCACTTCTCACGCCAGATTCCCTGCTCCTCTGTATTACTCTGCTCCAGACCGGTCGCTCGGCCGCTCGCAGTGTTGTGCCGTCCATTCATTGGACGCTCAAGCTCATCGGCGAGTGATCTTATGCGAATCACTTGCGGTAATTTTCCATTATCATTTTGCCTACCGGATTGATCTGGAACGTCCTCAACCATGTCAGACTCAGAGTCATCCGCGATATCCAATAATGCTTCTCATCACTCCCCGGGACAGGAGAACTCAATGCCTCAGCTAGAGACACTCATTTCGCATTTGGTTGCGGCGAAACGGTCCCTGTCGTCCATCAATCACGTCTGGCGTGCTAATGAGATCGTCACAGCCGCTCGCTCTGCATTAGAAGAGAGCGTTGTAGTCTCGGCGCGAACGGGTTTCCTTCGCCGGGGGCTGAATAATCAGCTGCGCCTTCTGTATAGTGTCCGTGCCGAGGTTCAGGAGGTCTCTTTGCGCGGCCGGTCAGAGTTCGCTACCGTGCTAAAGAGCCTTGATGCGGCAGATGCAAGACTGAGAAAGACGTTGGATTTGTTGCGAGAAACCATTGTCCACGCGTCATTCCGCCCAGACGATGAAGAATCCAAAAGTTTACATGACTTTGTCGATGAGCGCGGGGTGGACGAGCTACATACAACCCTCAAAAGCTCAATCGATCGGACCAACGCCGCTCAGACGGACCTAGAGTCGTCTAATAGCGCTTTTGACGATGAGTTACAGTCTATCAAAGAAGCACTCGGCAATTACCGGGCAGCGACGCAGCTCGCGTCATCCCGAACGTCCGCCTCTTCGTCATCGCCATCGACCTCCAACGCTAGCTTGCCGTCTCTTTCGTCAATTCCATCCATGCTGCATTCCCTCGAGATGCATGCCCAAGAAATGGCTAACCTGCTTGAGTCGTTAGTGCGCCACTTTGACCTCTGTGTCACTGCGGTCAAGCACACGGAAGGTGGCGGAGCAGCTGCCCGATCCATCACTGGTGACGTGCCCGCTACGGTGCATGTCAACGGGCGTGTTGGTCCCAATATCGAGGAAGGCATCAATGCCAACTTGAATGCCCCACTGGACCCGCTAAGTGACTCGGAATATCAAGAAATGGTAGGCGTGCTAATCAAGGATGCGGC